CAGTTTTCGCTAACATACTGAATTTCAAATACCGTTAAAAATAGTTTCCATAAGCAGAATTTGAATTTTTTTAGTTTGTTTGAAAGGTAGTTTTATATGGATTCATGAAATGTCCACAAAAATATTTTCTTTTTTTTAATATGGACGGATTAGGCTTTCAAACCAACTATATCTCAATTGTAAGTACTTAACATGAGCTCTGTTAAGTCGTTAACAGCGGTATGTTAACAGAAATGGTAGGTGTCTTTACTAGTTAAATTCGAATTTATCTTCACACCCTTTTTAATTTCTGCTTTCATTCCATGGAAGCAACATTCTCGACATAATTTACGGCGAATGCACTTATCCTACGATGCGCCCAATAAATATTTTTTTAATCTGTAATCTGCACTTATTCATTTCTGTCCTATCTATAGGGTGACAGCATGAAATGTTTGCTATGACACACAAGTTTTTGAAAAGATGCTCAATAGTTCGTTTATCGGTCATAAGTGCATCTGAGGGTGTGTTTTCTTTCACGGTATTCTTCAAATTGAAACGATAAAAGAAGTTAAATGAAAATAAGGCACAGAAGGCTGCAGAAGTATCCCTACAGAATGCTGCTTTAAAGTTTGAATATATTTGGAAATTGAAAATTACTTCAAGTGTTAACTGCATTGCGAGCTGCAAGCAGTTCATTATCGACATAGGTTTGGTGTGGTCTGGCCACAAGAGAAAAAAAAAAAGAAAAAAAGCTGAAAAGGCGCTCTAATCACAAAGAAATAAGCTAAACCAGGAAGTTGCTGTCCTTTATCATAGCATAGTAAGCAAATATTTGTGTAAAGTAAACGGAGACATCATTCAATTCTTACTTTTCATATGAAAAACAAAGAAAAAACAGTAACGACCGAACGATTTCATGCAAATGAAGTCAATCTAAGAGAGAGAGAGAGAAAAATTTTTGTAAAGAAAATCTTCAGTTTATAAAAAAAAAAAAAGAAGAGGAGAAAAAATTTGTAAAAACATTATGGTCCGACATGGTCTATTATTAGATACTCTCCACTTGTTCGCGATGAAATACCAAAAGTTATATTAAATTGCTTACAGAAATTTCAACCAACAATGACATTGGAGTGCATAGAAAACTCTTAGATATTTGAAAAGCTATATAGTAAATATCTAATGGTTATATACAAAAAAATATAGCTGCGAAGACAATGCAGTGGAAATACTTTAAAAAATAAAGAATAAGATTCAGCGATCTGGGCTAAGGTTTTATGCAACCGATTTATAATCGGTGGTAAGGACCATAACTGGATTTGTAGCTTGCGAAACTAACGACACTTTAAATTTGCTCGTCAGCTTAGTTCAAATATGACATCGGTAGATTGTGCGAATTTAGGAGCTGACGCATTTGCGATAGGGTTTAACGAATACGCTATTGAAATTAGATTATAGACATCGTTTGGGCTCTTACAAAGGGCCCTGAATGTTTTAAAAGGTTCGAAGTTATAGGTAGATATTGGTTAAACCCTTTCAATATTAAAGTCCTTGAGGAACGATTACGTAGATTAAGGTTTGGCTTTCGTAGTAAGACCAACAAGTCAATAACGCCATTTATTATTTTAACGAGGAAGGAGACACGAAGAAGGAAAGGCTTATAGTAGCAATCTATTCTATGAAGACTAACGGATCCTAACGCAAATTCCTTAGGGCAAATAGTAGCAATTGTTGCTGAACTGACTGCACTGAATCGGACGATCTAAAATCGTTTCCCCACATAAAAACGCACACGTTTTGTGAGACCCTTTAATATGGTCTGTGGGCAAAACACAGAGACCTATATGATACAAATTGGATACAGTTAAATTTTATTTCAAGTCAATACTATGAACTAAACTTTATCATGAGATATTGAAAATTTGACATAAAAGCTCAGTTTGCGTAGGTAGGGTTTTATGAGAGGGACTTTGAAATATTGGCTCATCCGAATCAAACTTTTCGGGTGAACTTATCAAGTTAATATACTACTAGCTATAGAGTCAACTGGAGCGTGCATGGACAGACATGACTAAAATCATTCAGAATCACTCGTTATGATAAAAGATAATGAAGTGTATTTTAAGTTCTTTTGAATGTTAAACTTTATAGATAGTGTACATCGCAAATGGTATAGGGTGTAAACAGACGAAAAAAACAAACCCAAACAAATCACTGCAAGAGGCTATTGTTGAGGATTCTTTGTGTTTCATTTTTAAAACTACTTGATATCTTAAGACTTAAGTGCAACAATAAGGAATTGTTGTATAGAATTGCTGATGAGTTTAATGAACCGTAAAATACTTAATAAATCGATTCAATGGGTTTTAGAAAGACAATAGAAGAGATATAAAAATTTTTAATCGTTTTCTATTTAAATGTATTGTTAACGCAAATACAAAAAGCAAATACAAAAAGCAAATAAAAAGAAAAATCATATAAAGCAAATTATGAACATATACAGAAGTGCTCAGTTCCAAATCTATTTAGGAGACGCGATTGCTATATGAGCATCTTCTTCTTCTTTCAAATTCTTGTACGGTGTGATCATTTATGTTGTAAATACCGCTTAGGCTTATATACGAGACTTTAAAAGCACTTGCGCTATATGTAGCGTATTTAAAACAAGATCATAAAAATCTTGACGATTAATTAAAACAAAAAAAAAAAAAACAAAGAATTGACAATGCTTTTTATTTTTTGATTTTTTCCGTTTTAACACTCTTGATATTGGAAGAGATGGTTCGGTCCGTTAAAAGATTACTATAAATGCCATTTTATGATGTAAAGCTATATATCGTATCGCTTAACAAGTTTTCGATCTGATACATATATGCAGATACGGTTGACATATGATTTCTGAATAGTGCCAATGTATCGAAATCTCATGACTATCCCACAACCCTTACTTTACAGGTTACGGTTGTTTTAATCAGACTACTTTTTTCCATTTCGATTTCTGACGACTTTCGCCAGTCGCTGTCCACATGCGAAATTCAGAGTTTTGCATTATTTCAAAAAAAAGGGCTCTTACCAAACAACTTCAACTTGTATACTAGTTATAAAAATCACTGGTACTATCCAGCAATTACCTGAGTCTCCTAACAGTGACCGGAGACTTATTGATTGATGTGTTCTAATCTAAACACATCTATCATATTAATCATAAAAATTAGGTAAACAAGGGATAAACATAATCTTTTATTTTATAGCAAAACTTTAAATTTAACATGTTCATGGCATCGCAGACTTGCATTTTGTATATATATTTTGTAATTTTGTAAAGAAAAATCCTTTCATTTTGTTTTAAATGGCTTTTCAAATATTAACAAAAAGCATTTTTAATTCTAATGCATTTCAATTTCCGACTTTTGTCACCCAACAATTTTATTTAAGTTTTAATTAGAAATTCCATTTTGTCTTATATGCCTTGTAAGTCCTTGGGCGTCTGCTATGTTATCTCAATCATTTAGTTATTTATTTGTCGTCGACTTGACTTTACACGAAACCTTAAATATTTTCGCACCCCCTTTCTCTCTCTCTCTGTCTCTCTCTCTCTCTCTGTATTTATTTAACTTAGTTTGAATTGCCCTACAATAAATACATCTGTGATTTGTGCATTTTTCAGTTTCAGTTATGTCATGTCGGATAGTTTAAGATTCAATGTGTATGCGTAACGTAACCAACGTAGGTCATTTCAAGAAATTTGCACCATACTTCAAATGCTTATAATAATATTGAGAACATTTTTAAATAATGTCAGAATAATGTTCACATTTTTCTCCCCTTTGAAAGTATTTGTAGAAATTTTTCAAG